CGTATCACCCCCCCCCTCCCAGTGCTTTCTGTTAGACCTCATAGCTAACACAAAAATACCTGAGGCGGCAGAAATGTTGAAAGCTGCACTTTAAGTTTTGGCTTCTGAATCGAGTATCGATCCTTGGGGGACGTTAACAGTATTTTTTATGACGGTATGTTCAGCTAAGTGAACTGTAAGTACTTCGTTCTGCCAATATACAATTCAAAGTGGGTCGTATTTTATATCCAGCATTTGGCTGGGCCAGTATCAGACATTGGGTTTTGACCTTATTAGGTATACTTGGCTGGTATGATTCCCAATGTTTGCAGATTGGCCAGATACTGTAAAATGCTGTGTTTTTCTTCTGCAATATTGTATTATTACGACTATGCTGCAAAATCGTTTCAAAGATGGATTCGAAACACTGCAGAAAACTTCCTTTTCTGTCCTACTGCGAAATATATCTGCCGCAAAATTAAGTACATTTATTTAATATCACATTAAGCCAAAGACCATGAATTGGACCATGGATGTTGTGAAAATTCTGGGAAATGTGAGTCATGAAATTTTTACACTAAACAGCCACCCTGGATACCAAACAGTTTTAACCTTTGCCCTTTTTGTGTCTTCATGCTGAACCAGTCCTACCTGTTCACAGTCTGTTGGTTCTGTTAATTTCACTTTTTCCTCATTGTTGCTGACATCCCCTTTTCTTTCAATCAAAATCAATACTGTCCCACTGAACCAAACTAATTAAATTGTCAAAATTTAAATAAGACAAATCATTGTTCTTCAGGAGAGTTTTTAAGACTACCTTAAGTAATGCATTTCTGATTTTTTGTCTTGATTTTTCCGCCATGCAATTTCCTGCATGAATTCTACAGTAGAATGATTTTATAACACTAGAAAGCCTTCTTTTGAATCTAAATTAATCATTACATTCTGTAGAAAGTGAATTGTTTTTTTTTTATAGTAAGCTGCAGCACATGGGTTAGTGCATATAAAATTGTAGCTGCGCAGGTGTTTCTGGTATCTACCTGCCCCAAACCTGCACAAAAGATCAGTATGTAACACTAGCTAATGGCAACATGGTTTGCATACTTTCCATGTGGTACCTGGTCTTTAGCTAAGAACATTCAAAATTCAACATGGTAGTGCAGGGTACATTAGATACCTCAAAACACAGGTGTGCATTCTTTAGTCGAAATTCCTTCAACATAACAGATATGACAACATTCAAAATGATTATGCAGCTCTAGAATTGTCTGGCGTAAGTCTATATTTTTGGTGCTACCTGCATCAGTGCAGGTATAACTTGTTATATGCAGAAAAAAGGATTCCAAGATATGTAGAGTGTCACCGTTTGGGGAAACTCGAGAAAATACATTTATTTTTGATAAACATTACATTGAATATACAGGTAACTTCAACATATTAGAACGAGCATTCAATTTTTTCCACCTCGCAAATTTGGAAAATCTAACAGTTGAAAAAAAATTTGAATGCCTTGAAGAGTTATAGGTCTAAGTGCACACAGATTGTTGCTAGGAGGTCTACTTAAGGTTTGCTATACAGGTGTAAAAAAAACTTTTCTTTAGATTGATTACTGGGACAATTGGTCCGGCTTCTTATCTCTCGATACCATCTTCCGCTGCCTTGTTATGTCCTTACTGTCGTTAAGGGCTTATGTTAATCACATATGACCTTGTAGTAGAAATAATCTCTTAGTTGCTGAACAACTTGTGGCATTCATGTTTTGGGAAACAACTTATTGGGCCTATGATAAGATTGGAAAAAATGTTAAAGACTTATTTGTTTATTTTCTGGGGATTTAATTTCTTTGTTAAAGTAGAAGGGAAGGTTATGTGTTGTTTTGGTAGGGTTCATAGGTAATTGATAGTAATTACAGGTGTTTCGGTGCCCCCCACCCCCACCCCACCTTATGCACCCTATACCTTACCTTAGATGCCCTCAAGCATATATTGGCATCAGGTGTTCTTTGCCCTCCCACCCACCTACCATACTTAATCAGGGCTGGAAATACCACCCACATATGCAGGCTAATACAGGTGAAATTGGGGATTTGCAGTTATTTCTGATGTCTACCTGCACTATGTGCAAAGGGTTGTAGGCACATATACGCATGTACTAGGTGTATATACAATGTAGATCTTCGATTGTGGCATTGACTAATACTGTACTGTTCCAGTATAGAAAAAAAATGGAACAGTTTTTAGTATAATCCATACTTCGTAAAAGTGGTGCAGGTAAACTTTGTCTGGTGCAGGTAATTTTCAATGTTAGTGCAATGAGTGCAGTTGTGCAAACATGTATATTTCGAGCCCTGTAATACTTTTAAGTTTGTTGCTCAAGACATTTCACTGCGGTACACAAATTTGAAATGACACTTAACATTATTATTATTTTACTTTATACATCATATCCTTTAGTATATCTTACCCTTCAAAAATGACACTTGAGTTTTTTGTGCGTGACTTGGTATATTTGCTAACAAGGCATGGTCCAACAATGATTTGTTACAGTAAGGTGATGGACATGGAATGAAATCAGCAATTTTTGGACTTTTGTCAATAGCTAAAAGTAGACCTGCTGTTTCAGATGGACTCGATAAGAGTCTGCCAAGGTATCCAAACAATCTCCAGGGAGTGGTGTGGTTTGATTTTGACGTCATTTGGTGGTTTTTGAGGTCTTGTTGGGGGCCTCCTCTGGGATCGGAATGTGTGGTTGACATTATTGTAACCTTTTG